TGAACCAAACTTTGGCCTAGAAGGAATAGAGATACGACGTGGTCGCTGCCCGTGCGCGGGTCGATCAGCTTGAATGCTGCCTCGCGCGGTCCTCCGAGCAGCCTGCATCTCGGTCTCTGTTGTAGAGGCATCCAACAATGCATCCCTGATAGTCTTTGGCTGGTATCCATCATCTTGTATAGACATGCGGCGCGCTTCCTGAACGGTCTGCTGTGCATTCTCAAACAGAACCGTGCGCGGTCTTATATCTAGATCTTTTAGAGAGACCATGCTGTTAAACTTAGATGGAGTAGATATTAAGCCGTCCGATCGTCGTCGGCGCGTTACCCTCCATATGAACTCGCGAAGTGCAACTAGCTTGAAATCGTCTTCAGCAGTCAGACCCGCGTTCCTCAATTTTCGTATCCACTGTTCGTCCTCTTCAGTTTTCTGCATACGCTGCAAAACCTTTGCATCCAATTCTCTTCCAGAAATTGTCGGCAAAGTATCATCCGACGAGGAAAAAGAAAAGGCCTGCTGTTTTTGCGCTGGAACCCAGAAGAGCCCTTTTTGTGACTGCGTGACCCAATTAGATGCCATCTCCATGATAAGTCGTGGCAAGGGCTTCTTCAGTGAATTCAGTAGGCGCAATTCGGTGAACTCTGATGGTATGATCTTGAGGTACGGCCGTATGAGATTAATGAGGATACTATGGTTATCGGCATCAGAGAGGCATTTGGCGGCAGAGGCGATAAATTGCGCAGCTGCTTCTCGGATCCAGATGTTGGGATGCATAGTCAGGCGCGCTACAATGTCGACGAGTTCCCAAGCCTTGGAGCGCTGGAAGAGGCCTTGTTCTGCTATTGCAGAGAGCGCCCGAACGACGTTCTCAACCACAAATTCCTCTGGGTCCGTGAGAGCTTGAATCATTAGTGGAAGGATCAGCGCTTCTAGACTAGCACTGCCCACGAATACTGCAACTCCTACGATCGCCTGGAAGAATGCGCATTTCAGCATCCAGTCTGGATCGTTCAAATAAGTGTTTAGGTGGCTTAGTACGACATCGTTGGCTCTAGGACTCCCAAAGAATACGCAAAGATCGCCGACCGAGCGAAGCATCGCGCGGCGAACGAATGGGTCGGAATCTATAAGCAAAGACTTCGTGTGTTTTTCAAAGGCTTCAAGCAGGTTCTGCCGATCCGAGTCGAATTGATTCCGGTGAACGGATGCTGTGAGGTCCTCTTCGGCTTCTGGGACCGCTGCTGGAAGTGTACCCTCTGCGCGAAGGGCTTGGATGACATCCAGATACCGTGCCGCAGTTGTCGCCAGAGTCCCAATGCACCATGCGTACTGTCTTCGAACTAGCGGGTCTACGGCGACGGCCGAGTCGGGAAGGTACCGCTCTAAGCGAGGCAGTACGTACTCCGGAAAGACGTATGCGTTCACCGGCGATACGACATGCACCATGTCCAGAATTTGCGTCATCGTACGTAAAGCTGCGACTTTCACTTGTACAGACTTATCGGTCAGGAGCGTAGCCACGTAGGGGACCACACGATCCAGCTTCGCTTCATCTGTTAGTCTTTCGGCAAACGCTAGGAGCAGCTCAAGGCCCAACAACCGTGCTGATGCCCGAGCGGTGCCTCGTAAACTTGACACCACGATGGTGAGGAAGATCAGGTTGCCGTCATCCACAGCAAGGCTTGGCGTGGGCGAAGCTTGATGTTGGTAATTTGGTATGTCTATACAGAGGGGGAAAAGTCGTCCGTCTAATTTCGGTGGGGAATGTTGCGGCTTCTCGGTGAAGTTACCGTCTTTGCTGGAGAGTAGATGCGAAATCTTGTCGAAATCGTTGTAAATCTGCTCTATCCGATCATCCGGCTCGCCAAGATGCTCAGCCGCAGTGGTCACTGGTTTACGACCGGATGACGGGTCTGTAATCGTCGAATGCATGTACTGATGCAAAAATCCGGAGAAATAGTGTGGGAACACCTTGCCCTGCCAGTGCTCCAAGTAGTCTTCGGCAGACATGCGCGAGTTCGGGTCTATTTGAATCATGTGCGTGATAAGCTCCCGCACATCCTTGTCCTTGATCTTGCTCAAGTGCAATTGTACAGGGTCATACTCCCTTGTCCGGTACTTGTACAGCTGGCTGAGATTGAAAATTGGTGACTCAAGAAAGAGTTCAGCAATAACGCAGCCTACGGAAAAGATGTCCATGGCCCATGTAATGGTGCCCTCGCCCTCGGGCTGAGCTCCAGGACCAAGGAATCGTTCGGGAGCCAGGTAGCAGGTACGCCGGCCCGACATATCGAAGTAGAAAGAGAAGTCGGCAGGATTGTCTTCAGGAAGATACGCTGGCTTATAGGAGGCAGAAAAGTCTGTGAGATATGCCCAGTTCCATGATGTTACGAGGACATTCTCTGTTTTGATGTCGCCATGGTATATACCTTTGGCGTGGCAATCGCGGACAGCGCAGAGCAGTTGGAATGAAAGCCACTTCTTTTCAATCTCCTCGAGGAACGGACGAGTACTCAGACGGTCGTATAAGGAGCTGTGGACATATTGGCGGACAAGGTAGCCTCCGATGGCGGTTTCCAAAATGCGATGATAGCCCAAGGCGTTTGGTACATCGGCCAGTAGCCTTCGCTCTTCGATGAGACGCCCAGCATAGCGATCCAAATTGAACTGGGCATATGGTTTCATAACGACGCGAGCAACGACCAAGCCATCCTTGTGCCTAGCTCTTACTGATTTCATGAAACGGGCAGCCCCGAGGGATTTTTCATATCGAAGGTCGGCCAGCTCTGGCACATCGATGTTGGCCGAACCAGCTGAAAGTGTGGTGAGCGAAAAACCCTGTCCCATGGTGGTTGAGGTAATGGTGTGAGGATAGATTGCAGCGCGATGGTGTCGAGGCCTCCGGTGCGCATGTAAAGCGCCGGGTTAGCGGTGCGGGTCCATGAATAGATATATTGAAGCGAGAGAGCAGTCGTGACAGCTTATAGAGGTGGATCCACGTGCGATAGGGCTTGATAAGGTGTGTATTTTGGGTTGATCATGTGCGGTGGTATGTCCCCAGGGTCGTGGCCATCTTCACTCACGGGCGGCAGCCGAGCGCCTAACCGAAACCAGCTAGCAGTAAGTCGGTGCCCTTTCATATCCAGAAAACACGTATGCGAAGCTTGCTAGAAAACACACAATATGGCGCACAAGAAGCAGCACGTAGTCTTCTTTCACCCTGACCTTGGAATTGGTGGTGCTGAGCGCCTCGTAGTCGACGCTGCCGTGGGGCTGCAGGAACGCGGGCACAAGGTCACGATTTTCACGTCGCATTGCGACCCCGCCCATTGCTTCGATGAAGCGCGCGACGGTAAGCAGCCTCCTGTTGTGGTTGCGACTCCCAACGCTTATATGAGAGGTAGCTGAGACTTGACCTCAACTCAAGGTACCCTCGATGTTAGAGTCCGCGGAAACTCAGTTGTGCCGCCCTCAATACTCGGTCGCTTCGCTATCCTTTGTGCCATCCTGCGCCAGGTGCATTTGATACTACAGATCGCCCTCTTCTCGAACGAGCTCAAAGAGCTCAAGCCTACTTCATTCTTCTTCGATCAGCTGAGTGCTGGCATACCGCTCCTCCGAATACTGCAGCCAGGCATACGCGTCATCTTCTATTGCCACTTCCCGGACAAGCTTCTTGCGAAGAAGGGCGGTGTATGGAAGGCACTATATCGAAGGCCATTCGACTGGCTAGAAAGCTGGAGCACAGGATGCAGTGACACCATTGTGGTTAACAGCAACTTCACAAAGGGCGTGTTCGCGACCGCCTTTCCCAGCCTCAAATACCGTCAGCCGGGCGTCGTGTACCCCTGCGTCGACACGCGACCTCGGAATGTGGAGGAGATAGTTCCATTGTGGAAGGACAAGAAGGTCTTACTGAGCATCAACCGCTTCGAAAAGAAGAAGGATGTCGCCCTCGCCATCAAAGCGTTCGCAGGTCTATCCGCCGAGGATCGCAAGAGTGCCCGGCTAGTCATTGCAGGCGGATATGACCCGCGAGTAGCCGAAAACGTGTCGACGTACAATGAGCTGTGCGAGCTGGCCGACTCGCTGAAACTGAAGCACGCGACCGCGAAGACCGTCATTACCGCACAGAGCGTTCTCGACGACGTCGTAGTCCTCTTCCTCCACTCCGTACCGTCCGCTTTCAAAACCACGCTACTAGCAACATCCCGCCTGCTGGTATATACACCGCTACACGAACATTTCGGCATTGTCCCGCTCGAGGCAATGTTGGCAGGCACCCCAGTACTCGCCGCGAACGAAGGCGGGCCGACCGAAACCGTTGTAGACGGCGAAACAGGTTGGCTCCGGGACGTTACAAATCTGAAGGAATGGACGTCTGTTATGCGTACCGCTTTGGAGGATGGCGAGGGCGAGCAGAGGCTGAAGAACATGGGCAAGCGAGGAAAGGAGAGGGTGGAATCGCTGTTCTCGAAAGAGAAGATGGCCGAGACACTGGAGACAGAGATCTCGGGTATGTCGAAGAAGCCGCGCCCTCCCATCACACCCTTCGCTGCTGTGCTGGCGGCTGTTGCGTCCATGGGGGTGTTGGCTGCGCTGGGTATGTGGCTCGCGTTGAAGGAAGCGCAACAATCTAGGAAGATGTAATGGGGCACTGCACTTCATCGTTTTCATTGCATATTTAAGGCTATCTGTTGTGTATATCACTGTACCGGTTACAGAGTGTTATTAAACGTGTCCATGGTAAGTTTCGCTCTTCTCACCATCGACCTTAGTACATTATGTGTGAAAGTTATACTTATAGAAGTGTGAACCGAAGAATGAACATGTTGTCAGCAAAAAGAATATATTTATTTGGAACCCAGGGTTGTATAACCATTTTGGCGGTAGCAGTGGAGGATACTAACCCAGCACTGCGGGTAAATGAGCGTCTCCCAACACACAACTTCCAAACTGCAGCCAAAAAGACCGCGACACCGTTGCACGGGTAAAAGAAGAGGTCGTGCCCGGGTTCGAACCGGGGTTGCCGGAAGGCGATTGGCACGAATCAAAATCCGGAGTGATTACCACTACACTACACAACCGGTGTCTTTGAGATTGATCGACGAGACCTATTGCACAAATAATGTAAATATACGTCAGAATGACAGCGCTCGAGGTGTCCAAAGGGTGAACAATGACAGTATAATACACAGTGAAGCCCACGACTTTGAAACTAATGATGCAGTGGCGCGGAAATATCTGCTGCCGAAGGTGGGGCAGAGAGGGGCTGTACGGAGATCGTTCGGAGGAAACGACATTCCGTGCTAGAGTCAATGACGACGGACAGCGTCCGATCATCCCAAACTACAAACCTTGGAATGGTTCGATATTGTCAGAACTCATAACAGATCGTTACGAGGATGTGTTTAATTGGGTTTCATGCGCTTCTCTATCACCCCGGGACGGAAATATAGACGCAATTCTTATCGAATTACTAGGGTTGTCAACAAACAAATGTGCTTCAAAATTTTGATTTGATTTTGTTTAATTTTTTAAATTTAAACAAACAAATCTTCTGTGCGCCAGATTAATAAACAAATTTAAAATAATAGGCTTCTTTATTTAAATATTTTAAGTTTATTTAAAAATAGCTATTAGACCCGTTGCAGCCTAGCCCTACTATATAACGTAATATTAGCTAAATAATCGCGTACTTCCCGCGTACACAGCGCGTTAACGCTTAACTTACCTATATTCCTTACTTTAGCTTGCCTATATAGCTTACTTTTTCGCGCCTTTGTATACACACGTTTACGCCTATTATGCCTCTAAAATAAAGCTATAAGTCTGCTAAGGTAGTTAAACCTATACTTAAATATCCCTATTATGCGCCTAAGCCCTTATAGAAGGTACGCTAAAGTATTAATAGTTAGCTAACTAAGCGCGATAGTACGCCTAAGCCTTTATCTATATAGCCTATAGAGCCGCTTATAGAGCTACTAAACACGCCACCAACCTAGCCGAAGCCGCTACTAGATACTTCACCCCAGCGAGCATCTCTACGCCAGAACATGTAGCTAGCCATTCCTAAAGCCTTATAAAACAGTAATAACGTTGCCTAGGAGTCGCAATTAATGCTTAACAGGCCTAAGGCATTTATAACGTAGCTAATAGCTAGCTCTAACGTGGCAATAGAGATAATAATAGAGGTAGCTCACACTCTTAAGGAGGGCTAGGCTAGTAACTACAATAATTATAACTTTAATAGATTAAATAGTATAGTAAAGCCACTTACTACGCTAAAAAGCAACACTAGCTAGGTCTATAAGTATAGCTATCGCGTGTGGAAGAAGAACACATATAAGCTAGAGTAGCTTTACTTTATGTGTAGGTACTGCCACACGCGCAATCTCCCTAGGGCTATACACTAAATAATAAAGTTAACTAGCGCTGCTATATAACATCTCGCCTAAGATAAACCTAGCTATTAAGTCTATAAAGATAGCCCTATTGCCCGCAAGCCTACGCGCAAACCTGGTTAAATATCGCTATAATTTACTACTAAGGGTAGCCTTAAAATTACTATAGAGACCTTTAATAAACTAGGTAACTTTAACGTACATAGCTTTTAATAGGTAGCTATACTTTAGCTAGTTAATAATAATAGAGCTCTTCGCGAGTTTAAAACACTAGCTTTCCATAAGATAATAAGATTTACTAACCCTAAGGCAAAAGCAGCGCTATAGAGCTCTTATAATAGCGTAATAAGCTTTATAATAAAGCTTTATAGTTATATAAAGCCGCAGGTGGTGCGCGCGTTAGCGAAAGCGAAAAGTAAGGTATATATAAGCTTTAATAAGTAGACTACTAAAGGTAGTAAACGTGGCTTCTTTGCTGTAGTTGCGCACTACGTTAACTATAAAGGCGTAATAGTTAACCTGCCTATAGCGCTGCCATAAGTTATAGGTGCTTACTCTGGCGAGGCTATCGCTAACGCTATTACTACTATCCTAGAATACTTTAGCATTAATCGCAATAAACTTAGGTACTTTATACTTAATAACGCCGCCAATAATAACACTACTATTAATAAACTCGCTGTAATATACAACTTTAATAGCACTAAATAACGCCTCCGCTACGCTTGCTATATACTTAACCTTATTAGCTAAATAATTATATTTAGTCGCGACGCCGACGCGTACGAGAACGAGCCTAAGAATATAAAAGAGGAAAAGTTTTATATAAAGGAGTAGCAAAAGGATAGACTATTAGGTGTCTTCTTTAATATAATAAACTATATTAACACGCTAAATTAGTACAGCCTCTTTGCAAGCTATTAGTAGTAGGCTATAAAGGAGATACCTTAAAGCGCTGTCTCTATTAGCATACGCGAGCTAGTTAAGCCTATAGTTACGCGCTAGAATATCTATTACAGTACACTTAAGCATAGGGTTAAGCTTTAACAAGCTATTACCTTATATACTAATTACTATATAATAAAGACTAAAGTAGCTAACTCTACTGCGCGAACTCGTAGTAATAAGCTTCTATTAGCACCGCGATAGATAAGGTTAATAGGGCTTATAGCTATAGATTAGGCGGTTATTAATAACTATATTACTATACTATAGCTACTTAAGTTTGCAACTAATCGCCTCTAAGGCCGCAGTAAAAGCGGTCGTTATAGCGCGCTATACAAGGTAATTCCTATATTAGAGTCTATAATTACTAAGCTAGATGCCCGCCTTAAGTCTTATAAAGGCGTTAACTTTACCCTAACTAAGGCGCCTAAAGACTACCTGCCGATTAACCTACGCGCCGCGAAGAAGAAAGCGATTAAATACTTTAAAAAGCTACTTAAAGTACCCGTTTACTACACTACTATAGCACTTTACCTACGCTATAAGATATACTGCAAGCGTTTATAGCAGTATAAACCTAAGGTCTATAACCGCTACCACGCGTAGTTTCTACAACTATAGACAGCCTATAAGCCTGCCAACGCTGCAACTACAACACTAGTTATACTACTAAAGCCCTTAATAAGTAGCTTTAATAATGCTATTAACTTTATACTTAACGCTGGCGATCGCGAGTGCACTAAGGCAGCGAAGAACAAGTATAATTAGTAGTTAGAAAAGCTACTATAGATAGCTTAATAACATAAAATAGGCGTTATAGCTATATAGTACTAGCTTAGGTTAAAGCTAAAGTACCTACATCTTTTATAGCTTGCAATTAACTTACTTTTAATTCCTACCTCTAGTAGCGACTATAAAAGAGTCTTCTTAGGTACTGGCAATATAATGGACCTATAGAGATAAAAAATAAGCTCATAGTTACTAGCTGCTCTTATATGTACGCAGCGATAGATAAGGGCAGGTTTTAAGCCTCTAAGCGCGATAGTAGTAGTAAAGTACTGCGAAGAAACGCTTATTAAAAGCTTTAAGATAGAGGAGTAGAAGGAGTCGCTATAGTAATTACTATATAAATTACCTTTTATAGTCTCTAGCTTCTTAAAATTTAAACAAATAATTTAAACAAAAGCACCCCTACAGTCTATTAAAATTAAACAAATAAACTACAATACTATAAAATCGTCAAACAAAGCAAAACTCAGCTTTAAATATTATTTGTTTTGTTTGTTGACAACTCTGCGAATTACACGGTGTACGGACGGCCCTACCACCAGCTAGCTCAAGATGCGTTAAAGTACAAAGCTGTCTAGGTACCTCACTCTTCTACAATTCATTGTGGCTCTCCCGATTAAGGACGTATATGTATGGTCGTCGGTCCTCGGTGCGAGGATCGCGTCATAGGTCATCTGTAATGCTCGAAAATCGGGGGAAATCTTGGCAAAACCTTAATTATTTTCGCGCGCCTGCCAATTTGTTTCCGAAATCTAAACGCCTGCGGTCCCCACTATCGTTGTCAGCTTGCCGCCTAGTAAAGTAAGGCTGTAGATATCCCCCGCATGGCCAACATCGCCCTGGCACGGGCCACCATTTGAGGGCCAATCGGATGAATTGCTCCGACCCGGCAGAACACTAAGAATTATGCCTCTGTAGGGTAAATTCGCATAGATTTTGCATCTCTAAGGGCTTTAAGATAGGTTTACATGATAGTTAAGCTTGCTTTTATGTCTATTAACCTAATTATTTAATGCCGGCGAAGGTACTCTGCCTAGCACTTAGTATTAACTTCTAGCCTACGTAAAGGTAGCTAGCAAAGCGTATAGCTATAATAAGTATATAGTAGGCGTTAAGAGCTATAAGATAACCTTATATTACCTATAACTTATGCTAGAGGTGTCTAGGATTAGAGCTTCTTATTAGTTATACGTCTAGCTGCCGCGTAATTAATATAGCTTTTGCCCTCCATAAATAGCTTTGTAGATGTGTGTGAGCTACCGAAGTTGCCCTCTCCGCTGGCGAGTACGTCGTTAGGTCGCTCACGCTTGTTTGAGCCTCGAGTAGGGCGGCCACCTCGCTTAAAGAGCTATTTAATAAGCTTGTATAAGAACTTCTTGTGGCCGGAGCGTTTGGCGGAGTTGTAAGAGGAGTACGAGGAGAGCCTGTAGTAATTATTAAGCGTTAGATCTAGCAGAAAGTACTAGAGTAGGCGCTAGGTACGCTAGCAGACCTGCTAAATAGAGTAGTAGCTTTTTATTTAGTTAAAGCGATTAACCTTGCTCTTGTAGTAATTATAGTTATCTATTATCTAAAGGATACTTAGTAACTTAAGAGGCTCGCTGCTAAAGGCTTTCTTAAAGAGTTTCTTATTATTTAGAGCTATCTTAGAGCGTTGGCGGAGCTTTATAATAACCTAAGTTGCTTATAGCGACTATTGTTAGCGGAGCATTAGCATGGTATTAAGGGCAAAGTACTCACGCTTAGCGATAGTACTAGCAAAAAGAACGACCTGGTTGTCTCTCTAAGCTGCCTAAAGCACCTGCCAACTCTGCGAGAGCGCCTAGTAAGTATTTCCCCACTCTAGCTTGCGCGTATAGTGTGTTTTAAGTTTTATTAGGTTACTATTAAAGCGCTTCTTTAAGAGCTTTACCTGCGTGTAAGTGCTAATAGCTAGCGCCTTTACTTAT